CAATATTTTTTTTCATTAAGGGTGTTTTTTTTATCTATCTCTTTTCTTTAATTTTTTAAAAAAATTTCAAATTCAAAATTTCTATAGTAATTCTTTAATTTCTAAAAAGTTGCAGTATTGATAAAATAATATAAAATCTGGTTTTTTATTTTTGCTAATTTTTTTTACACAAATTTTTTTTTTGTAATAATTTATTAACTTAACATTTACTCTTTTTTCCTGTTCTAAAAAATATTTAATGCAGAATTTTTCAATTTTATTAATATTTAATTGGAATTGTTTTAAATTTGTTATAAATAATTATGATAGATGCTTATAGTTTAAATTTTATTGGTAAAGTTTAATAATATCCTTTTTATTTATCTTAAGCTATTTTCAGGTTTAACGTGTCCTCTCCATTGCTCTAAAATGTAAAACAATTTATAATAATTTTGCTAAACTCTATATAAATTTGTCATGAATACGTTCAAAAAGAGATTAATACAAAAATTTATAAGGCATATTGTTTATTTCTTTATATATAATATATATATATATATATATATAGTTTTTATCTTGAGATTTGTTACTCATTTCGATAGATATAAAAACTATTCGAAATAGCTTTGAACTTTATTAATTCACTTTTTTATATATTAAGTAAATATCTTACTTTCTAAATTTTTCATTTGTTTTGTAATATTAAATAATTTTAATATCAGTACTGTATCAATAAAACATATGCCTATTTCATTGGTACATATATACAAAAAATTCTATTATTATTAGGAAATATAAATTTTGTATCAACTGTAAAATAAGCCTTTTTGATTCTTGATAATACGATTTCAAATAGTAGTTTTAATTTATTTGTAAATTTTTGGTTTAGGGTAGTTAGTTGAATAGTGAAAAAAAAGTGCTTTGGGTAACACATATATTTGTTTCATTTTTAAGAGATTTATTCTAACAGCTTTTTTTTACTGTATTGACCCACCAAGTTTTCATGAACGATGAAAACGATTATTTTTTTTACTTAAATTGCAGCTTTTTAGAAACCTTACTGTAATATTTTACCATCAATGTGAAATAAAGTTGTAATTCTATTTTTAGGCACTTTAAGATGTATCCGATTAATCGTACTCTTGATTGTCCTAAATATGAACAACTTGTTTCTAAAAAAAAATGTAAAAGTCTTGTTTGGAAATATTTTGGACAGCCAGCAGATATTAAAGGTCAGTTGGTTGCACAAAATATTGCTGTCTGTAAAACTTGTAAGTATCCTGTTTCAGCCAAAGGTGGAAGCACAACAAATTTGATGACTCATCTTAAGATTTATCATCCTTTAACATTTTCCGATGTTACCTCTTCAAATAAACAGCTCCAAAATGCATCACCTTCTTTTGTTGATAATATAAGTCAGAGTAGCACTTCTTCAAGCAAAAATGAATTCATTGATGTAGATGATGCTCCTGTGCCTCCAGCAAAAAAACAAAGAACACTGCATGAATTCCAACCCCTTGGTGGAAATTGCTTAAAAAAGTATAACGATGCTGTTTCAAAATTTATAGTTGAGACATTACAGCCATTTAGTGTAGTGGAATCACAATCGTTTAAAAATATGGTTCATATTCTGAATCCTAGGTACAAAGTACCCTGCAGAAAATATTTTTCAACTACAGCTATACCCAGACTTTTCGAAAATGTAGTTGACACTATAAAAAGGCACCTTTTAGCTATTGATTCCAATAATGTTTCAATAACTACTGATTGCTGGACTTCATTGTCTAATATTCCTTATATAGCTATAACTGTGCATTTCATAAATTCGCAATGGGAGCTTCAATCCGCCTGCCTGACTTGCAAACCATTTAACGAAGATCATACAAGTCAAAATATAGCAGAAGCAATGACAAGCATTTTGTCAGATTGGGACTTAGATATTGCTAACATAACATCATGTACTACTGATAATGGCAGAAATATTCTAAAGGCAGTATCATTACTAGAAATACCACATGTTCCCTGCTTTGGACACACTATTAATATTGGTGTTAACAAAGCTTTGGAAATACCAAGCATTAAAAAGGCAGTATCAAGGGTTAGAAAATTACAGAATGCTCTTGCACATAGCTGGAAGATGGTACGAGATTTCCGGAAAGCACAAGAATTAATGCAAATGAATGTTGTTTCACTACCTAGTGCTTGCATAACTAGGTGGTGGAGCATCTTGAAATTGTGTAAGAGATTCTTAGAGAATCAATTGCCTATCCGCAAATTGCTTCAAGACTATCCATCAAAAAAACATCTGATGGCGGATAGTAATGAAGTGAATACATTAGAGGAAATAGTCAATGCTACAAAACTTTTGGAAGAGATATCGAAAAATCTTTCAGGAGAAGGATATACTACTGCATCATCAATTTTGCCTCTTTTAAGAAAAGTAAATAAGAGTTTAAGAGAGCTTCCTTCAGACAACTCTATGCAAAAACAAATAAAATCAGAACTCTTATCATCTTTAATAAGGTATGAAAAACCTGAGCTAATGTCTTTATTAAGACTAAGCTCATTTTGTGATCCAAGATTTCGCTTAAATTTTATAGATGAGCCAGAACAAACTAAAATGATTGTATTAGAAAAGATGATAGCATTGTATGAAATAGAAGATGCTCAAAGTGTCGCAACCGTTGAAAACCCAAAAGTATTAGAAGACACTAAAAAAGGTTTAGAGAAACTTTTAGAGAGTGATGAGGACGATGATACTTTAAATGTTAACATTCTGACACCATCATGTAAGGCAGAAAGAGAGTTCAATAATTTCATTTCTATGCCAAAAGTAGGCTTAAATGATGATCCACTCAAGTGGTGGAAAATGAATGAACATAATTTTCCGACTTTGAAACTTCTCGCCAGGAAATATTTGACCGTTCAAGGATCCAGTGTACCGTCAGAGAGAGTTTTTAGTACTGGGGGCAATGTCGTTAGAAAAAACAGAGCATCTTTATCACCTAAACATTCGGAAATGCTGAATATAATTTCTAATATCGCCCAGTCCTAGTTACATTATATGCATATCTTTTCGTCGAAAAAGATGTTAGTGCTTGTAAAAGTTTCATTCAGTCTGATGCCTGAGCAATGTAAATACAGGATGCGTAGTTTTTTAAAAAAGAGCTTAAAGGTGCTTATTTTCGTTTTTTAAAAGCCCTTAAAAGTGCCTTTTTAATTTTTTTTAAAAATAGTGCTTAATTTTCCCTCTTTCAAAGTAAGATTTTTACATTACTATATTGATTTTCACTTCGAATTATGCAAAAAGACACAGTTCACAGTATTCTATTCAACGTTTTCACAATTAATTCAACCCCAATCTATTTCGGCGTATTGTCAGTCCGTAGCATATAAAAACTCAATTTGTTTTACATGATTTAAAATGTCTTAATTTTTGACAATTGTCAAAAACAATGCTGAAGGGCTCTTTGACATGACGCTTAAAACAAGATGAAACCGTCAATTATCAAAAACTTTCCAACACTGCCTGATTATATTTTTTTAAAGTGCTTAAAAATATTTTTTGAGTGCTTAAAAGGTGCTTATTTTTTGTTGAATAATTTGGCTGCGCACCCTAAAATATTTTTCGAGATTTATAATAAAAAGTGATAGACCATGATATATTATTTTTCAAAACTATCAAACTCACTGCAAATATATCTAAATTATTAATTGATTAGTAATTCATTAAAATCAAAGACATAAATTAATAATTTAATTCTTAATTATAAATTAATTTTTAATAATTTTCAGTTTCTTTAATTTATAATTTGATGCACAAGATAAAAACATGACAATTTTCCTTTAAAAATATTAAATAAAAATACGAAAAGTTCCATAATTTAATTTTGCAAACTCTTGACATGTCCTTTCAGAACAAATTTTATAGACTTAAGTTTTTTACAACAGCAAATGTAAAATTAGGAAAAATCAAATAAACTGCTGTTTGTAGAA